TTCTGCTCATATTCCTGTTTATATTAAAAAAGTTCAACATAGTTTGAGAAATAATAAATGTTTAAATGTTTTAAAAATCGAGTAAATTGTGTTGGTTCGACTAAAGAAGTTGCATTCATAAATATCCAATGAAATAATAATAATAATATAAATAAATGTTATTACTATATATAACATAACATATTATATCGAGTATTTTATTAATGCGTATTTAGTATTATAATAGAGAGACTTCACAGCACATATACCCTGTAATATATATCCCGACACTAAAGTGCAATGTTATTTTCTCTCAAGTAATAAAACTTGTTCCACTTTTAATCATAATTAATAAGTGCTCAATGGGACTGAAATAATAATAAAATTTCCTTTCTTCATTCTGCTCGCTGTTTCTGCTTTTTATCTGCTTCTTCCTCCTCTTGCGCTGATTAAAGTTGAAAAATTGAAGTTAAAGTTGAGAGTTAAGCCCAAAACTGATTTTACGCTTCGCAACTTTTAATGACCAACAGAGGAGCAAGGGTGCGCCGGGTGTTGGGGGATTGGCATCAACGGCGTGTTTCGGCATCAAAATGTGCGCATAATGCGGCTCTTTAATGGATTCCATTGCATACATTTGGGGGAGGCGCAAGCTGCGCCAGCAGCAGCAAAAAAAAAATTATGCAACGCCCTCTGAAAAATGGCATCTCATGCAAATTGCCAGCACGTTGCGTGCGATTTGTGGGGCGCCACGCTGTGGCAGCTATGCGGCATGATGCCCAGTCTTATGTACGAGAGGGGGAGAAGCGGGTTGGAGGGGACTACGGTCGGGCTCTGGCTTGATGTTTTGTTTTAATTTAGCCGAAATTATTCCAACATTTCGCAATTGAGCACTAGCCGCAGTTAATTGAGATTGAAAGCAAACCTATTTTTAGAAAATTTACTAACGAAGAGGAGAAGCTTGAAGAGAAGAGAGTGGAAGATAACAACTATGTCAACAATTACGGGTAATCAATCAATTTTCATTTCAATCGAATTGATAATATAATTGTGCTTGAATTGCATTTCCATGGAAAATCATTATCATCAAATATTAAATTAACTTGAAACGGAAATGTCAATGAACAGTGGGTAGCGGTGGTGGGAAGGGGGGGGGGGGGGGGGGGGGGGGCCTGCATTTTCCAAGTTGACGCTTTGAAATCAATTAAAAATTTGCCACAAGGTCGGTGCGCCAGGAAGCCATTTTAAGCGCTTTGGGGAAGAGAAAATTTGTTACTTGCTTTTGCGGCTACTCAAAAACTGAGCACTGGAAAATCTGTCAAGCAATTGGCCCAAAACAGGCTACAATTAAAGCATAATTAAAACGAATTATATGTAAAAGCTCTAGGAAATGCTGACGACGGTATTTAAAACGTTTGTGTAACCATTTTCAAATAAATGTCAAAGTGTCGCCAACTTTTCCACTTTCCACTTTCTACCCGGCTGTCTAGGGATCGCATATAACAACAAGTTTCTAATGCTATGTAAAGACAGAGATGCGCTTGTTGTGTTACAAATGAACTAGATCAAAATTGTAAGCAATTTATTAGCTAATTCCTAATTGAAACTGATTAAAATATTTATATCTTTAACCTATTTCAGTTAAATTTATCTGTACCTGCTTAGCAAACACACGTTCCACAAAGGAATCGCGTTTTAGATCAGCTTAATAACAGCATAATAACAGTACAATAACAGAATAGAGCACATAACTAACACGCTCACAACTTCTGCCAATGCTCTCTTCTTGCAAACGGGATCTCTTCTGCATACGTAAACACAGCGCAACAATTCAATTACTTATCTCACTCATACAAATGTCATTTTATCTACGCTGCTCACTCTGTGGCAGGAGCAGATTCTGTTCAAGCAACAGCATTAAAGAAATGGCAGTTAACAGTGGACAAATCGCACTAATACAATGAACTCTCACTTATCCGAAATGTGTACTCTCTGGATAGGCGCGCTCTGATCTGAATAATAGCGCCAAAAGCAGCTGACAAACACTCAAAATACCGCAATGTACATGCATACATATTATTTTTTCAATGTTTCTTTTACGCTCTTCTCACTTCATGAATATAATTTATATACATACATATGTATATACGTGTGTGTTTGATCAAGCTGTTCCCAGCGGTTTTTGGTTTTCCCTTTTGCCTGTCTTTTTTTTACATCGAACTGAATTGATAAATTTATTTTAATTTCCAATTAGATTTTATACAGCTGGCCAAATATGGCCGCACGCGACGCACACAATATCAGAATTAACTCAAAGTTAATGAAAATGTTCTAAGCAAGGAGGAAGGCATCGTCAGCTGCCTTTAAATGTTGCATTAGCTTGGTTAATGCACTCTAGTTAAATTATCATAAATAAATAAACGTATATATGCACTCACTCGCATAAGATAATTTGCAGACTACGCTCATCTCTCTCTCTCTCACTCTCTCTCTCTTTCATTTTCCTTTCACTCCTGTGTATCGAATTCCATTTTGCGCCATTTTTTTTCTCTCACTAAAGCGCTTAACAATAAAACCGTGTATTTTACCGATGTTAAAAGTCTGGATAACTAATAAACAGCACTTTAACAAACACACGCATTACGAAAAATTTATGTTTAATACCATTTTTATTAAATAACACAGGTTTTTAAACTTTGCAAGAAACCAACACACACGCGCCACGAACCCGACCGATCAACAAAGCAGACGCGCACAAACTAAATCGTCTCTTTAAGCTCGAGTCTATGCTTAGCCGGCATTTGCACTAATACAATAACAACCTAGAGCACAAAAACAATATAGCAATCGCTCTCTCACATGCATAAGCGCTCTCGACTGCAAACATAAATGAGATAACGGGATCAAAAGCATTGTGCATTGGACGAAGAACTCCCTCTCACGCTCTGGATGTACCTGCAGCCGGATAAAAAACAAATATATATATACTTAAAGGAAGCAAATGAATAATACGCCTGGCTCTCATTATCCACAATGGCAACTCTCTACAACCATTATCCGAGCATACATGCATCTACACACATACACATATGCGTTTCGCTCGCTTAAATTTGTACTGTTAACTCCGAGCATTGTTATGCTAGGCTAAAGCGAACTAGTTCAGATAGTTTTTTCAAGACTTCTTTCAATTATTGTGGCCACACAGCATTAGGCTGCATTTTGAACTAGTTCATTTGACACTTTTATTGCCCAGCCCTGGCTAACGTCTCATGTGATTTCTCAAGTTTTTGCGCTCACTCAACGCATTTTCTAAATGAAAATGCCAAACGGAAGGCGCGAATTTTCCGCGTGCGACTGTGTGTGTGTATGTGTGTGTAATATGTTTATTTATTTTAGCTTGCGTCTGGCTGGGCGCCTTTTGTTGGGCAAAAAACTAAGCCGCAATTTTAATGTGCGAAAAATAGTTTTTGCATGTGTGACATGTGTTAAAATGATGTGCGTGTGTGTCTGTGTGTGTGTGTGTGTGTGTGTGTGAGTGTGAACCGGACGGCAAAAACTTGTTGACCTTTTCAACACTTACGAATAGTGCTCTAAGAAACAGAGCTTTGCGCTTTGAGCCAAGACTTAAGGACTTACATTATTTCTAAAATTAAACTAAATTTTTAAACTGCAGCCAAACTAGATTCCCAAGAGCTAAAGCAACGGGATTTATGTGAATTTATATATATTAAACAACTTTCTTAGTTCTTATTAGAATTTTGGATACTTCTTCCTCTGATAATATACCTAATAATATATATAATATTTAAATATATTTAAATAAAATATAAGAATAAATACATTCTTTTAATAAAATATGATAAAAAAAATGAAAAAAAAATAAAATGTTGTGACTAACACTCCGTATAAAAACAAAAAAAAACCTTTCAGCCTTCAGATCAAAATACTTTCCAAGCCCAAAGTTGTTCTATATTATCTCAAAAATATATCCAAAATATGGGTAGCCTATAGTTTGACTTCATTTAAATATATTTCAATATTAAGAAGAGTGCTTCAAAGGTTTATTATACACATATATATTTTTTAAGATCTAGCACTGAATAGCCTTAAGGACTTGGACTACCAAGAAACCGCATCCAAAATTATGTTTCGAAATCAATACGACAGCGACGTGACCGTGTGGAGTCCACAGGGGCGTCTCTTCCAGGTGGAGTACGCCATGGAGGCGGTCAATCTGGGCACAGCCAGCGTGGGCCTGAAGAGTGTGGACTTTGCGGTTGTGATCGGCCTCTATAAGCCGTCCGCGGAGGTGGGCCTAACCCATCCGAAGGTCATGTCCATCGACCGGCATGTGGGCATGTGCGTGGCGGGCATTACGGCGGACGCACGCATCCTGGGCCAATATCTGCGCACGGAATGCCTCAGCTACAGGCACTCGTACAACTCCAGCTATCCCGTCTCCCGCCTGGCCACGAATCTGGGCAACAAAATGCAAATAAGCACCCAGCGCTACGATCGCCGGCCGATCGGCGTGGGTCTGCTGCTGGCCGGCTACGATGAGAAGGGCAGCCACATATACCAGATAATGCCCTCGGCCAATGTGTTCAACTGCAAGGCGATGGCCATTGGGAATCGGTCGCAAGGTGCTCGCACCTATTTGGAGCGCTACGAGGCGGCGTTTCCGGAGTGCACCATGAACGAGCTGATCTGTCACGGCATTCAGGCAGTCAGCTTTGCCGCGCCCCTGGACGAGGAGATGAGCATCTGCATCGGAATCGTGGGCAAGGACTTTCCGTTCAAGATACTTACGTCAGAGGAGAGTATGTCATATCAGAAAACTTGCAGCGGTCTTGATGATTTTGAGAATCCGGGCAGGTGGGAACCACCTCAAAGCTATTCTATCCATGATTTTGATCCGGATCCGCCAACTACAAATAATCCACAAGCTCCGAAAAGGGAACCATAATTTTCCAATAGTTTTTGTTCACTTATGAGATTAGTAATAAAGTATTTTCAAATTCCTCGTTTCAAAAATGCTGGTTCCAAATTGCATAGACATAAATATGTGTGTGTCGCCCTGGGCTAGCAGAGCGCATTTATCCGGTGGACATTGCGGCGATGCCATTGGCTGCGATGCTCTTGATCCCGTTGTGCTGGCGGCAGCTACCTTCAGAGAGCGAGCATTAATAATGACTGAGAGAGTGCGGGAGAGAGTGCGATTGAGATGCCAAAAAATAGCTACACCACTTCAAATGCTAACTCTTTCCGGCTGACGGCCTCTGAAAACAGCCGCATTAAGCTAGAAAATAGCTGAATAGGCAACACTCACAATATGCTGTTATTGTATTAGTGCAAATGCCGGCTAAGCATAGACTCGAGCTTAAAGAGACGATTTAGTTTGTGCGCGTCTGCTTTGTTGATCGGTCGGGTTCGCGGCGCGTGTGTGTTGGTTTCTTGCAAAGTTTAAAAACCTGTGTTATTTAATAAAAATGGTATTAAACCTAAATTTTTCGTAATGCGTGTGTTTGTTAAAGTGTCGTTTTTAGTTATCCAGACTTTTAACATCGGTAAAATACGCAGTTTTGTTGTTAAGCGCTTTAGTGAGAGAAAAAAAATGGCGCAAAATGGAATTCGATACACAGGAAAGGAAATTGAAAGAGAGAGAGAGAGAGATGAGCGTAGTCTGCAAATTATCTTATGCAAGTGAGTGCATATTCACGTTTATTTATTTATGATAATTTAACTAGAATGCATTAACCAAGCTAATGTAACATTTAAAGGCAGCTGACGATGCCTTCCTCCTTGCTAAGAACATTTTAATTAACTTTGAATTAATTCTGATATTGTGTGCGTCGCGTGCGGCCATATTTGGCCAGCTGTATAAAATCAAATTGGAAGTCAAAATAAATTCATCAATTCAGTTAGATGCAAAAGAAAGACAGGCAAAAGGGAAAACCAAAAACCACTGGGAACAGCTTGATCAAACACACACGTATATACATATGTATGTATATAAATTATATTCATGAAGTAAGAAGGGCGTAAAAGAAGGGCGTAAAAGAAACATTGAAAAAATAATATGTATGAATGTGCATTGCGGTATTTTGAGTGTTTGTCAGCTGCTTTTGGCGCTATTATTCAGATCAGAGCGCGCCTATCCAGTGCACATTTCGGATAAGTGAGAGTTCATTGTGTTAGTGCGATTTGTCCACTGTTAACTACCATTTCTTTAATGCTGTTGCTTGAACAGAATCTGCTACTTTCAAAGTATGAGCAGCGTAGATAAAATGGCATTTGTATGAGTGAGATAAGTACGTATGCAGAAGAGATCGCTTTTAACAGGAGAGAGAAGGCGTGAGCGTAGCCATTAGGTTGTGTCTATGTTGCCATTGTATTAGTGCAAATGCCAGCTTAGCGTAGGTGTTTGTCAAAGGAAACGATTTAGTCTGCGCGCGTCTGTCACTTCGATCGGTTATGTATTGCTTGTGTGTGTATTGGTTTTTAAAAATGGTAATAGAGAGGGAGATGTCGTTCGCTTGTTTTTTGTTTGTTTGTTCTATAGAAATTTTATATAATAATAAATGAAGGCTTTCATACAATAACAAATGTTTGAAAATGTATTAAATCTGTGTATTTGCGTTTTGGCCACATACAAAAGCTCTAAAAGCGCTGAAAGCCAACTTTAGTTGGCCATAATATGCCAATTAAATTGTCCGTCCGCATTGGATAAACACATTTGAGCAAAATCTACGCCATAAAACTTTAGAAGGCAAATGCCAAACTGACGACCCTGCCCACAACGCTGCGTAATGTGCAAAGCTTTAAACCATGTGGGGTAATAAAAGTTGGGTAAAGTGTTTAAGGCGGATAATGTGCTGTTTAGGGATGGGCAGAAGCAAGGGCGGAAGTGCACGGAGTCGGGGGACAGCCAGAAGCTGAGCAATGTCCTTGGCATGCAAATTTAACGTCAAGTTGTTAGCTGTCTGTCTGTGTATGCTCTCTTCCACTTGCTCTCTCTCTGCCTCTCTTTCGTCTGCTGCTGGGAACAGCATCAAAAACTTAACCGCAAAATGAACAGTAAATGTCTGCAATGTGCTGTGCTGTGCGAGGGAGGGGCTGCGGTGCCCAACTATTAACTGAGCAATTTTGTAGCCTTGTTTGTTGTCTTTCAAATTCGTTCAAATTTCGGTTAACCTGACAGCTGGTTGGTGAGTGGGCGGGGGGGGGTTAGGGTAGAGCTTGTGAGTTTTGTTATCGTCTCACCTACATATTGTTCGTTTACATGTCTCGCAGGACATGTCGCGACTTGTCTCTGACTTGCCGTTAGTCAAGCCAAGTTAAGACCTTGAATACCGGTACTTTACTCACTGATTTTCTGTCTCTTGGCTGTTAAATTGAGCGCTGCCAGTTTTCAGCTGGTTTTTCAACATTTAATTCGCCTGATTTTGCACATTCGTTAACACTTTAATCCCCCAGGGCAAGCCACAGAAAATCATTCCGATAACTTTGATTCCAACCAAGCCACCCCCCGCCCGACCACATGCCGCGGCAGCCTATCGATTGCGTGTCAAACTTCTGGTCGGTTTCTGTCAGTTGTTTAATTCCCTTGAGCTTTGAGCCGATTGCGGCTGCTGAACTGTCTCTGTCTATTTTTTTTTTCTTTCTCTAATTTCAATATTTATTTCTTCTCTCTTCGTTTGGGCCAAACAGCGCAATCAATGCAATGGACGGATTTGCGTGTGAGCTCTCCCCAAAAATAAAGTTGTGTATTTTGGCGTTTTCTTAAGCTTTACTCGCATCTTTATAAAATATAATTCGGAAAACTATTGACTGCAATCATTAAAAACATTTCGGCATATCTTAAATTAAATTTCTAACAAGTCTCGACTTTTAATTTGGCGCACAAAATTCGAGCTCTCCAAAAAGCATAAACAATGAGCACCACATTCCGCTAGATTTAACATATATGTATGTGTATATAGACACAAGCACATAAATCATGTGCTGCACTGAGCAACCGCAAAGCATCGATATTAGATACCCTGTAATTTTATAACATACATTTATAACATGAGCAGAGTATTGATTCATGTTTTTTCGTTTAGCAAATAACATTAATTATGTAAAATATATGTAAAGAAATAATTTAAATCCGAATCTAACCTAAATCAAAGTCTAATAAGATTCAGAGCAAGATATATTTCAGACCCTCTCAGACATATATATGCCACATCAGCATCAAGATTCCAGACTTTATATAAATATCTAGACTTTATCTTTAACTCAGGCACAGTAAGAGCTGCAAAATTTCAATTCGAACCCTTTTAGAGGGTAACTTCTCGTCGTGCACTCGTGCTCATGACGTTTGTTTATTTATGGACAGCCTGGTCTGCAGCTTCATTTAGTCCAAATTATGCTGCAGCGTATGAATATTGAATGGGTCGAAAGGTGGCCTGTGTGGGACTATGCCAAAACATAAAAATATAGAATACATGAATCGGATGTAACCGACTGTGCGATGGTCTGCTCAGAGCCAAAAGTTTACTCTAGAACAGCCTTACTATTGTTTTGGCTAAAACTGTAAAGGATTTGCAAATGAGTATTCCAACAGGGCATCTATGCAGTCAGCCCGACATTGCGCAAAGCCAATCTAATCCTTTTGATTTTGCGGAACAGTGTATAAGAAATATATGCTTAAATTTACGGAACTGAGTTCGGGGGAACTAAAACAGTTTGTGCTTGTTTTTGCGTTTAAGCGGACCATTAAAAGTTAGCCAAGTGCCGTTAAAGAATTTGGCAAAGGCTCAATAATCGCGCAAAAGCCGAAATTTATCTTACAGGACACGCTAGACTTAACATAAATAGGTGCGATAGCCGAGCACTTAAGTGCCGCCCTTGGGTCCACTTAATTCATGTTTCCAAAGCGGGGATTAAAAGAGGTTTAAGCTCAAAAAAGGAAATAATAAATCCTGAATTATTCTAGAAGAAAATGAAGCCATATTAAATTGGAAACTTGTGATAATCCTAAAAGCTAAATTTTTGTCTAAAAGATTTTAATTATTTATTACCATTTAAATAAACTAAGAATTGATAATAAAATTCTATGAAACTCAGTTTTGAACTATTTGAGTTCCTGCTTATTTAAAAACAAAAATAAATAAAAATTAAAACTCAGCTTAAATAAATCAACGATAAATCTTAAATTTGTCTGGAAGAAAATTAAGTCAATGAAAATTAGAATTTTAAAACACAGAAAAAAAACTATTTTTGATAAAAAAAATTATCTAAATTTTCTAAATATTTTTCTTTTAGTATAAAAACTGCTTTAAATATTTGTATCTTTAAACTTTCTAAAATAAAAAAATTAATGACTATTTTCTTAAGTTAAAACTATCTAAACGATTTTAAATAATCCTACGAAAAATCGTACTTAAAAAAAAAGCGGAGAGAAAAAAGAAAGAGAAAAATGATAGAGAAAAGTTCTAAAACTCAATTGAAACTTGCAACCATTTCAGATGCAGTTTTATCAAAGTTTCATTTTAGCTCGAGTAACAATTGGGGAAAACAATAGAAAACATATAAAAGGCTAGGCCAAAATAAATAAATAATGCATTTTAAGCTTTACTAGACTTAAATTGGAATAATTTAATGAGAACAAATTTAGCCAAAGTAAAAAGCTAATTTTTATAACATAAAAAATTGTTTAAATTTTTTTTTTAATATTTCTTAAAATTCGTAACTTTCTAAATAACTTTTTTCATTACAAAAATTTAACTTCAAGTAATAAAGTGCACGTTAATTGAACTAAAATAAAAATTGATAGAGAAAAGCTGAAAAACTCAGTTCGAACTTGAAACCATTTGAGTTTGCAGTTTAATAAAAGTTTTTACTTTTAGTTAGCGTTTAGCGTAACAATTGGGGAAAACAACACAAAAAAGCGCATGCATTGCAGAAAGTTTTACAAAAACTAATTCAAGACGAGTACAGCTTAAAAAAGCTGAAAAACAAACGAAACCCCAAAAAG